TGCGCACACAACGCATTGCACAACAAGCAAGCCCGCGGTGGGCGCCATGAGCGAGCGCACCTCAGCCCTGGTGCGTGTTGAGCAGCCGACGGTGAGCGGGCGCGGGATGGCTGCGGGCACGGCGTCCTGTGCCGCTGTGCCAAACACCCCGAGGTACTCCAGCGTCGGAAACCGCTCAGCCACCCGCTGGCAGTCGTGGTCGTGGTGGGGATTGTGGTGGTCGTGATGGTGGCAACGGCGTTGTGGTGAGCACCTTTGGCGTATGATGCAGCAAAGCAGCAAACACCCACAGTGATAACAAAACATCCACGCACTGGTGTCACGAGCACTCCTTTTCCCTGACCCCTTCCCATCACTTCACATCACATCACATCACTTCACATCACATCATCATCCCATGGCTGCGCACCTGCACAAAGCCGACGGGTGCTGATGTAAAGGAGACGTCGAGCCACCGCAGCTGATGGTGGCCGTGGTTGATGGTGGCCGTGGTCGATGGTGGTGGTGGTTGATGGTGGCCGTGGTTGATGGTGGCCGTGGTTGATCGTGGTGGTGGTTGATCGTGGTGGTGGTTGATCGTGGTGGTGGTGGTGACATTGTGGTACAATGAGTAGGACGACAATGACACAATCACACACGACTTGAGTGGTGTAAAGGTGTGTCCAGCTCGTTTCATCACCACCTGAAGCGCACTGCTGGCTGTTGGTGCGCACCTTCTTCGTGGAGAGGTCGAAGATGTGGCGGTCAAAGAAGTTGTGCACGCGCGTTGCGTGGGCAGCATCAAACTGGGGAAATAGAGCAAAGCGCATCCTTGGCAGTGAGGGGACCGAAATCAATTCAACACGCATTACAAGCATCGCACACACGACAATTATTGTTCTCGTCGTACATTGTACACACACACACACACACACACACACACACACACACACACACACACACACACACACACACACACACACACACGCACGCACGCACGCACACGTGCGTGTACAAACAAGTGTGAGCCTGCACAGTGCGGGTGCACGAGAGCAGCGTACCACGGTGCCCTGTGTGTGGATGGAAAACCCTGGAGCAGCAGCGAGGCCGAGGGCTTCGAGGTTTGGCATGATGCACAGTGCACTGATCACGTCCACACCAACGTCCGTCAGCTGAACATACAGCTCTCGCAGGTACCGCGAATGCTGTGCCAGCGTAATCACCTACACCGCGGCATGTGTGCGTCGCGCACGTGTGTGCGTGTGTGTTTGTGTACATGCGTGCGTGCGTGCGTGCGCGCGTGCGTGTGTGTGTGTGTGTGTGTGTGTGTGTGTGTGTGTGCGTGTAAATACGTGTGTAAACGATAGGGTGAGAAAGATACCACATGTGTATGTGGCGCTTGCACACGCGTGAAAACGAAAGCGGGGGGGGCAGTGCTCCTTGTGTATGCACGAAAGTACAAGCAAACACACGAGAGCAGACTGCGACCTCTTGCGTGTTGAGGCGCGTTCCCTCTGCGTGGAGGACTTCAAGCCGACGGAGTGGAGGAAGAGCCCGGATCTATAAGAACACACACACACACACACACACACACACACACACACACACACACGATAGAGTGAGGATGGATGGGGAATAGTGATGGTACAAATGCATGAGACAACACACAGAGAGGAAGAATACTCACACACACACACACACACACACACACACACACACACTCGCTACGACACCTTTGTGTCGCTGATGTTGAGGACACGAAGGGCATGGAGGTTTGCGATGGCGTGGTAAATCTGGTCGTTCCTGACACCGCCGCAGCTGGTGATGTCAAGATACCCGAGGGACTCGGACCAGTTGAGTCTGCAAAGGGCCGGGGTGGGGAAGCACAAAGGATGGGGTGAGTATGAGATCGTAATGCAGACGAAGCAACAAAAAACACAAACAACACAATCAACACAAACAAACAAACAACAGAAACAGCACGAACAACAACACAAGCAAACAAACAACACAAATAAACAACACAAACAACACAAACAAACAATATACACAAACACAAGCAACGTACGTTGCCCGGTAGAAGAACGTGGTACTGAGGCGCGCGTGTGTGAAAGAGAAGGCAATGATGGGATGGTCAACGAGTGCCGAGAGACCCTGCCGCTTCAGATCCTTGCAGTAGTGCAGGTGCACCTCCGAGAACACCTGCCTCTCCGTGAACGAATAGCGGCGCCTGACAACAACAACAACAACAACAACCGCCGCAAAGGGGAGAGTGAGGAGGTAAGGGAACAAGGGCAAACGTGTATCGAATAGCAGCAGCGTGCACAGCAGGCAAGAGTTAAGCCCGGCAAAGAGCAAAGAGCAATTTGCAAAGTACACATGCAGCCGGCTGTATTCCCATGTCAACAACCATATCGACCCGCACCGAAACCGTGGGCCACAAACACACAACACACCAAACATGCATGTACTCACCCCTTGAGGAGAGTGCGAACGCGGCGCTCTGACGGATAGATGGTGGTGCGCATATCCACTCCGTCCCACCACACAATTACATCATCAACGTGCTCATGTGCTTGCACACGCTCTGCTGTGGCCTCACTCGCCTGCAGTTGTTCCGGCTGCTGTTGAGGTTGCTGCTGTGCTTGTGACTGCTGTGGCTGCTGTTGAGGTTGCTGCTGTGCTTGTGGCTGCTGTGGCTGCTGTGGCTGCTGTGCTTGTGACTGCTGTTGTGGCTGCTGTACTTGTTGGTGTTGCGGCTGCGGGCGCGAAGGCGCACGACCACTACCGACCGTCTTGCGGATCTTCACAGGAAGCGTTGTCGTCTCCAGCTGCGCCGCAAGCCGACTCGTGTCGCTTCCGCCTTCCTCCCCGCGTCGACCAACACCACCTTGATCGTCCCCGTCTCCATCGTCATCATCACCATCGTCATCATCATGAGCAGCAGCAGCGGCAGTAGCAGCAGTAGCCACCGCGCCATCGCCTCGGCCGTGGTCGTGCATGACGGCATCCGCTGCTGTATCGACACGATCGCCAGTGTCTGTGCGGTAATCGTCATCATGCCTGCAGGCACCACTCCGTTTTCCGCCACTGCCGCTGCTGACGGTACGAGCGCGTCCAGCGCTGCTGCTGCTCGCTGCTGCTGTTGCTGTTGCTGATGGGCCGCCACGGGACGCTGTCATGCGACCGGCAGAGGCAGTGCCGTGGTGTCCTTCATGCTCGCTGACGCCACTCGCGTCCCCAGCATTGCCGCCTCGGCCGTCATCATCATCATCATCATCACCATCACCATCACCACCGTCACCATCGTCGTCGTCGTCATCGTCGTCGTCGTCGGGGCGGTCTGGGGTTGCATCCATGGCTGTATTCCCACCGCGGCCACTGGCATTGTCACCGTTGTCGACAGCACCACCATCGCCACCATCAGCCAGCTCGCCGGGGGTGACGGGTGTTGCAGTTGACGCTGTTGTCGACGCCGACATCGAAGCGGACAACCCCGCTTGCATTGCACGCCGGTGCTTCGTACGGAAGCCTTGCCTGCAGGCATCATCGTAGGCGAGGGCCCTGCACAGCACAGCTAGAGCCTCCTCGTCGCGACACGACTCTGCAGAGGCGCCGATGAGCTGGAACACAGGGCCGTCATCCTCGTCGCTCCCATCACCGTCACGGCCGGACCTGCCGTCTCCATCACGACTGTCACAATCATCGTCGTCATCGTCGTCGTCATCATCATAGTACTCGTCGTCATCATCATCGTAGTAGTCATCATCATCGTCGTAGCCGTAGCCATAGTCGCCATCACATACCATGCGCTGACGAGTGGCGCCTGCAACAGGCACCTCTGCTTGCGATGAGCGTGACAGGGCATTACCGGCTGGTGCGTGAGTCGCCCGCCGCGGTGCAGTTGTCGTCACCACCGTCACCGTCGCTGGTGTCACGGTCGCTCGGGTTGGCGATGGCGATGGCGGTGGTGCATAGGGATCGCCGGCCTGTGCGGACATGGCTCGGCGACGCGACGACGTGGTCCCCGCGGCTATGCTGGCGCTGGCGCTGGCTGGTCGAGATGGAGATGCGCTCTCCTCTGCACTCAGTCTGCTGTTGCGGGTGCGTTGCACGATACCCACTGGCCACTGCTCACTACCAGCACCCTGACCGACGTCCGTGCTGCGCCCTTGGTGAGCAGTGGCACCATGACCCCCACCACCATTGCGTGCTGGTGCTGGTGCTGGTGTTGGTGCTGGTTCGTCCTCTTCCGTGGCCATCTGATTGTTGACTGCAGCGGTGGTTGTGGTGGTGTTGGTGCCAGCTGTTCTTGTGATGTCGACACGAGCACTGGCGTCACCACCACCGACAGTTGTGCGGTGTTGTTTCTGGCGGCGCAAGTAGTACTCTTCATGCTTGCGCTGCGCCTCTGCGTGCTGCTCCTCGGCCTCCTGGAACACGCGCGAGCGCAACTGCTCGTCCTGCAGTTCCTTCTGCGCATTGCGGCGCCGCACGTGGCCGCTTTCGCGGGCAAAGTCCACAAACGCACACGACGGCGGCAGCAGCTTCCACAGCGGCTTGAAGATGTCCATGTCCGAGTGGCTGATGGTGTGGGTGGAGAAGAAATTCTGGTGGCAGGCAGCGAGCTGCGATGGGGTGTACGTGTTCCAACGAGGCATGATGGTCTTCATGGCCCTGTCGTCGAGTGGGGTCGACAGCGGCGCAAGGCTTCGACAAGCCTGTGAGATTGAGGGCATGTGTGTGCGTGTGAGTGAGTGTGAGTGAGTGCGTGTGTGTGTGTGTGTGTGTGTATGGGAGGGTGGAGGCAGCAGCAAGAGTGTGTGAATATAAGCAGGGTTGAGTATGCGTGTGTCGACAGAGCACAAGAAGCGCCCGACAGATAAGGCTCGACACAGACAAACGAAGACCTGAACAGCGTTTGAGAGAGAGAGAGACAGACAGAGAGAGAGAGAGCAAAGGAACAAGGCCAGCATGCATGCATGCATGGTGCAGAGTGCCTGGGATCAAGGGTGGCCATCATATGACTCGCACCTTTCCTCTGTCGTGGATCTCTTCGATGACGTCGAGCGCCGGCTGGTTGCGCAGCTGCTCGAGCAGTGTTCGTGCTTCTGCTGACTGGCTCAGCTCCGAGATGGCAATGTGTGCCAGCAAGCGCGTGCATAGGCGAGCCAGCGACGGCACGGTGCCTGTCGATGATGTGGCCAGCCTGTCGGGCACGATGGTCTCACCCGTCATGTTCGACAAGATACGCCCGACCCTGCGGCCATTGTTGCTGCTTGTGGGGTTGTTGGTGGTGGTGCCATCATTCGGTGCTGGCGGCGGCATGGCTCTGCCGCAACCCAAGGCACAACAGCACCGCTCTCTTGGCTTGACAAAGCAAAGAAAGGGCCGATCTGTGGGCGTGTTAGTTGTTGGCGTTCGGTGTTGCCGGTGATGTTGTTGTGATGTGTGAGCTGCAAGTTGTGCTTGGGTGGGGTGAGGAGCGTGGTGATGGTGTGGGGAGAGGTGTGTTTGTGTGCGCGTTGTGCTGCTGCTGTTGTCGGTTGCAGCGATTGTGTGATTCTCATTTTATGGTGTCGGATCAACAAGGCCAGCAGCAGGTGGTGACACATGATGTGACATGAGTGTGATGTGAGACATGAGTTGGGGTTGTCGTGGATCATGTTGGGGCGAAGAGGATGAAGCCGTTGTGCTGGCCTTCGTGCTTGTCCACAAGCATGCTTTCCTCTCCTTCTTGCTGCGCCCTGAGTGAGCACAATGGGTTCTCTCCCTTGGGGTCTGTGCATGATTTGAAGGGGGGGGGTGTTGCGGTGTGAATGAGAGTGATTGTGTGTGATTGTGTGTGAGTGTGTGTGAGTGTGCGAGTGGGTTGTATGAGTGAGTGTGTGTGAGTGCGCGAGTGGGTTGTATGAGAGTGTGTGTGTGTGTGAGTGTGCGAGTGGGTTGTATGAGAGTATGTGTGTGAGTGTGCGAGTGGGTTGTATGAGTGTGTGTGTGTGTGAGTGTGCGAGTGGGTTGTATGAGTGTGTGTGTGTTTATGACATATGCACTCGTAGAACAACAAAACAAGCACCTGCACCCGTACACATCCATACACACGTACACACAAACCAACCTGCAGCCACGGTGACTTGGAGGTCACGAAGCCACTGCGCCACTTGCTTGTGGCGCTCGTGGAAGCGCTGTGTAAACACAATGGGCACTTTGCGGCGCGTGAGAAAATCCACGGCATCCTCAAAGTCGGCCTGTATCTGCGGATCGGCCTGGCGCCCAGAGTCAATGAACAGCACCAAATCTAACAGCCGCGCATGCGAGGTTGCGCGATTGCGTGGGATTGCGTGATGGTGTGGTTGTACAAAAGCGTGAGTGTTACAGGTGAGTGTGTGCGTGCCCCCGAGGGAAGGTTGATAGGAGCAGCGGACATGCCTTCTTGATGACGGAAAAAGTGGTATTTCAGTGCGACTTGATGTTCAAACTGACCACCCCAGAGCACGGCACACGCTGCACGTGCGACACACGCACAAATTAAGCACACGCACAAATTAAGCACACGCACACACACGCACGCACACGCACACGCACACGCACACGCACACGCACACGCACACACGCACACACCTGGCTTTGTGACGTGTTGACAGTCCTCAGCAAGGAGATCCGAGTATGACCCGCTGATGGTGGAGACGCGGAGATGCTGTGCGGGCATGTCCTCATCGCCAGGCAGCACATCGTCGCACTTCAGCTCACCGCGCAGCCGGTCGGATGGGATTATCTAAGGAGCAACATGGTGGTGGGCGTGATGGTGAGGGTTGCGATGGGGCAAGTTGAAGAGACGGACTCGGTGGCGAGGGACACGGGCCAAGACGCCATACATACACGTGTGCACTCATGCAACACCCACACCCACACATACACCCACACACCCACACACCCACACACACCCACACACACCCACACACACACCCACACACACACACACACACACACACACACACACACACACACACACACACACACACACACACACACACACACACACACACACACACACACACACACACACACATACAAACACACAACAACAACACCACCACCACCACCACAGACATAAGACACAAGGCACAAGGCACACGACACAAGACATGCGCGCACACCTGCACGACGTTGATGGCGGTCATCTCTGGAAGCATTGCACAGAGCTCAACTGCAGAGAACTCGTGTATTGGCTTTCGTGCCACAATGTGCATGGACAGGGAGCCTGAGGGTGTGGTGTCGTGGAAGATGTTCTGCTGCGCGGCGGAAACGCACATGAATGGGAAGATTGGACAGGACAGGAAGATGGCAGTTGGGAGGCACAACAGGGAGCAAATGACATTGAGGTGAGCATCAGGGGTAAAGATGGGCAATGTGTAGCACTGCAGAACAACAGCCACTTCCCGCGCCTCCGTATTCTGTTGTCAACATCATGTGCAGTGAGTGTGGTTGTTCACGGCGTACCCTGAGCACGTGTGCGGTTGTCAGCACCCACGAGTACATCTCCGATGTCTTTTCGTGTCGCGCCTCAAGCTCGTATTCCGGCAGCTTCTGCTCGTGCATATGTGTTATATGTGTTATATGTGTGTGCATGTGTGTGCATGTGTGTGTGTGTGCGTGCGTGTGTGTGCATGTGTGTGCATGTGTGTGCATGTGTGTGCATGTGTGTGTGCGTGCGTGTGTGTGTGTTTGTGTGTGTGTGTGTGTGTGTGTGTGTGTGTGTGTGTATGCGTGAGTGAGAGAAATGGAGCAAGGGGTGAGTGAGCGTGCACGGCACCGAACATTCAGGCATGTGATGTGGCACCCATCAACCGATCAACCGATCAACCGATCAACCGATCAACCGATCAACCGATCAACCGATCAACCGCGCAACGTGCCACAGCCACACCACATCCTACCCCCACCACCCCCCTCGCCCAGCCCCCCTTGCCTCACCTGTCCCATGCGGAGGTGGTACCACTGTGTCCACGTTGACACGTGTTGCTGTTGGGGTACGCGCCAGCGACCCGTCGGCAGCAGTCGCTCCTCAAACAGTTTCTGGGCACACGTGGTGCACACATCAAGACAAGATGTTAGCTCACACATGTGCGCATCTATGTGTGTGTGTGCGTGTGTGCGTGTGCTTGTGTGTGCTTGTATGCGTGTGTGTGTGTGCTTGTGTGTGTATGTATGTGTGTGTGTAAGACGTGCAAGTCATGTGCAGTGATGACGTGTGCACTCACCTCAAGAGCAGTGTGCTCCTTGAACAAATCAGGCAGCGCGGGCGCTTCCAGCTACAGAGAAACACAACGAATTCCATCGAAGACCATGCAAAAAATTGAGCAAGGACATACCTGCTCTCATTTACGCGCAACAAGCTCTGATTGCCACATTCGCACATACACACAAAGAAACACACACACACACACACACACACTCTCTCTCTCTCTCACGCGCACACACGTTCACTTTCACACACTTTCACAAACACACGCGCGCGCACACACTGCCCACTTGCACCGACCTGAAAGTGGGCGTATGGGTCTGCAATGCTGTCGTTCGAAGTGTCCCCGCCAACACACACAGTTCGCTGTTTCAATTCCGTGCACAGGCCCGTTGCACGCCGCTCACGTGGGGACGTGGTCTCGCCGTCATCATTGCCGCTTTCAACCGCAGCAATGCCATCATCGCTCGCGCGGCGTGCAGCCTTGGCGTGTCTTGCCTGCACCTTTGCAGCAGCCATAACAGGTGTAGTTGCAGCTGTTGCTGTGAATGTGCCAGCCCGCTTCTCTGCGCACAGCTCTCGCTTTCGCAAGATGTACCAGATGCCTTCGTCAGAGATGTGTGGCCCAAACACGATGGATTGCTGCACAGTTTGGTGGTGGTGGTGGTGGTGGTGGTGGTGGTGGTGATGATGATGATGATGATGATGATGATGATGATGATGATGATGATGATGATGATGATGATGATGATGATGATGATGTGAGTCGTGGGTATGACAACAGTGGTTGTGGTGGTAGCGGTGAGGCTTCCTTGAGCAAGCGAGCGCATGGCGCCCTGTGTGTGTGTGTGTATGTGCATGGCAGACTACCAAGAGTAGTCGGCGCCAACGGACCACATAAGCGTGCAAGCACGAGCGACTGCATGCAACCCGAATCTAAGCACGCAATACAAAGCAAAAGGGCGCACACACGCTGCTGATGTGCCCACCTTGCGACGGGTGGCCTTGTTGTCGGCAGTGTTCTTGCGCACGTATTCAATGTCCGTCATCTTCTGTTTTGAGATTTCTCGGTGCGTCTGGTCCCGGAGTGTGTTGGTGTCACGAATGGCAGTGAGACACTGCTCTGCCTTCACGTCTCCGTTGGGCAGCAGGTCGTGGGCGCGCTGAAAATCTGTAACAGCTTCATCAAAGGCTCGCGCCTGTCGCAGCGCCAGCCCACGCGAGAAGTGGGGCTTCCACCACTCTGCATACGCGAGAGGATGTGCGTGTGTGTGAATGTGTGTGTGTGTGTGAAAGTGCGAGTGAGTATGTGTGAGTGAGTATGTGTGAGTGAGTATGTGTGAGTGAGTATGTGCGAGTGAGGAAGGATGCTTAAACACACACAGAGAGAGACACACACACACACAGACACACACACACACACACACGCATACGCACACGCGCGCATACGCACACGGATGCACACATACAATCGACCAACCTGGTGCGAGCGTAGTTGCGGCGTAGGCTGCGTCTGCGGCCTCACGATATTTGCGCTTGCTGAACAGCACCGTTGCCTTGAGGTCATATGCCATGGCAAGCTCGTACTCGTAATCGCTCTCCTTGTGGGGGAACATCGCCATCAGGCGCTGCACCGTCGCAATCGCCTTGTTGTAGCACTACGCAAGGAGGAAGGGGCGGCATGTGCGCGCGTGTGTATGTGTGTGTTTGTGCGTGTGTGTTGTGTTGTGTTTTGTGTTGTGTGTGTGTGTGTTGTGTGTGTGTGTGTTGTGTGTGTGTTGTATGTGTGTGTTAGCATGTGTGAGTATGTGTGTTGTGTGTTGTGTGTTGTGTGAGTATGTGAGTATGTGTGTGTGTGTGTGTTGCGAGTATCAATTGCGCACGAGAGAGTGGTCATCACGGCATGAACATCAACACTGTCATCAACTCCAAACCCGACACATAATGGTAGATGGATAGGCAGACGACACAATTGCGTACGTAAAGGGCGGCGTCGTTGTTGTTTGAGCTGAAGAGCATTCGTCCTTCCACCAGCACCTCGGCCGGATCCTGAATCCATCGCAGCAGGTGGCGTTGGTGGCGCAGTACACACATGCAGGTGCATTACACATGGGAAATGGTGGAGCAACGGCATTGTATCGTGTAACAGGCGCAAGACACATGGAGAGGTGACGCTCAGGTGATGACACAATCAAATAACACACGCACACATACACACACACACACACACACACACAGTGCGGACCTCGATTGGAGCGACGGGGTGCTTGAGGTGGACAGGCCATCGCTCGTCTTTGGTCAACGCTGTAATCGACAATGATGCACACACATACATGAAGTGAGCAGAGGAAGACAAGGTTGTGAGCACGAGGCAGTTCACTGGACGCTGTCCTCGCACGCTCATCATTCTCATGCACACACAACCACACGCAACCACACAACCACACACACACGCACACACACGCACACACACAAACGCACACGTACACATACACAACCACAAACACACATGCGCACACACACAACCACACACAACCACAAACACACACATACACGCGCGCTGTGTGCGTGTGTGACTCACCGAGCATGTACACGAGGGACTGCAGGGATTTGCAGCGTGTGAGGCGCTTGTTGATGGAGAATGGCTGGCCGCCGCGCTCCCGGGCAATGAGATGGTGCGTGCAGCGGCCCTGGTACACCACGCTCAGGATGTACTGCAGACATGGACGATGGGTGGGTGGGTTGGATTGGATTGGATTGGATTGGAGGGTTTGTACAAGGTTGTGCACACTGACATTATTTAAGTGCATGCACACACAACACACACACACACACAACACGCACACACACACACAACACGCACACACACACACACAACACGCACACACACCTGGTTTGGGGAGTCAGCATCTGTTGTTGTCTTGCGCCTGAAGCTTGCGGCAACAGAGGAGAGTGCAGCGAAAGTGCTCCGGCGGCGCGGACTGGCATCAACGTGGCCCATCCACGCGGGACCCGCTGGCATGTCCTCTGCACACGCACACGCACGTGTGCATTCACGTGTATGTGTGTGATTGCATGAGTGGATGTAAGAGTGAGCGAGTGTGTAAGAGTGAGCGATTGTGTGTGTGTGTGTGTGTGTGTGTGTGTGTCAGCATTGGTGTGTATATTCACACCTGTGTGCGTTTTGTGTTCACGTGTTTTGAATGAGCCAAAATCGTTCAAGCATGCGTTGGCTGGGTCAGGGGTACACGTCAACTACACGCACTCATTTTCCGCAGCATCTTGATGGACACGCGGTGCAAGCTGTCGCGCGGCCCGAGGGAAAAGTTTTCACTGCAGCGGCGGCACAATGGTGTGAGCAGTCCGGTGGATGACAAAGGATGAAGGGGGGGGGGAATGACAGCAGTGCATTCAACACGTTTCACAAACAAGTGTTTGCAAGCGATTGTACTCACGCACGCACGCACGCACGCACGCACGCACACACAATACAACACAAAACTCACACACACACACAACACACACACACACACACACACACACACACACACACACACACACACACACACACACACACACACACACAATACACACACCTGGTTGCGGAAGGTACGGTATCTGTTGCTGAGAATGAGCCGTATCCGCCCTCCTCCTGCGCAGCGCCGTCGTTGTCGTCTGCATCTGAGCCATCATCCTCCACGTCAGACAACGCGTCGTCACGTTGGTGCGGCTCATCACGGCTGCTGCCGTCCACACCGGTGCCCGCCATGCCCGACACGCGGCGTGAGCGGGCGGGGGACGACGTTGGCGATGTGTTGCTGGAGAGCAGTGCTGCTGCTGTTCCCCCATCTGCAGATGGCGGTAGCAGCTGCTGTTGGGACCCGCGACGGGATGACGATGCGTACATGTCGGATATGGTCTGTGCCATGGAGCTGCGACGTGGGCGCGCTGCTGTTGCGTCCACGCTCGCACCACGCGGCCGCCCGGTCACCACATTCTCGCGCGGTTTCGTGCTGGGGTTGTTGGTGTGGTGGTTGTTGTTGTTGGTGTGGTGGTTGTTGTGAGCTTGGGCGTGGAGATGCTGTTGGATATGTGTGGGGCAAAATCACACCGCGTATGTCGTGGGCCGTGCTCGTACATCCACTGAGGCATAGTGGGGTTCGCCATAGAACAACAAACACAAACGTAACCAATTCCACACACACACACACACACACACACACACACACACACACACACACACACACACACACACACACACACACACACACACACACAC